AAAAGAGAAAATCACAAAACATGCTCAAACAAACCATTGGGAAACTCACTAGATCAATTGAACAACTAAATCATCCTTAGGTTCACTCTATACACCCCCCACACTTAAGTGTTACAAGGTAGAAACTAGAGGTGCATAGGTAGAAATGCATGTTGTAGTGACTAGGGTCGAGGTTTAGATGCATGAGAACAAGGGAGACATTTCTTTCAAGAGATTTCTAAACCCTGGCCGAAGGCTAGAATCAAGTCATTAGACAACAACAAAAGTTTGAACTCTTGGCTCTAAAAGCATAAGGAAGCACGAAATAAAAAGTGAGCCAAATTTTCAAACTCAAGTAACATGCATCAATGATTCAATTCTAAGTCATAAACACACTCCTGAGGGTCTATCTTAATCAAACAAGTTAAACTAAAAAGCAATGGATCAAGAAAAACAAGTTTTATGGGGTTTGGGTATTTCATCGAGCACTTGGTGGGCAACATTCAAACTCCAAAAATTCATAAAGATAAATCCCACCAAGGCCTCCAAACACACATACACAATCGTAAGCATGCATTCTTTCATCCTATTGTGCTAGCCACGCCATTCTATTACCCCCAAGGAGTTTAAGTAGTAGGCTAGTACACTTGCTTAACAATAACATTTGCAACCATTCCTAAAGCAACTAGCAAGTCTCCAATTAATCATTCATTCTATTCTTGACATAGAAGGACTAATTCACTAGCCAAAACTATAAAAACTACTTAAAGAAAAATCAAACATGCAAGTTTTATTTTTGAAAAGTAAGGAAATGCAAACAGGTTGTTGGGGTACCTCCCTACTAGTGTGTTTTTTATATCTTATCTCTGAATGATCATCTTCAAGTTTTCGGTCCAACTTAAAACCTCCTTGAATTTGAGGTTCTCTTTGGTGAGGTGGTGTCTCAAATCTCGAGCGTTGAATGTTTCGAATGATATGGATGACTCTTAGACTTGGCAAGAATCGTCTCACCCACGAGACCTCCATTACATCCACCAAGAGGGATCGCCGATGGTTTGACCTTGACTTGGTAAAGAGCCGCAAATGGGCCCTTCTCTAAAAGTGGATCGAGGTCGGGTGGGAAGCTTTTGTAGTACTTGTAACTTGCAGATACTTCATCCACCTCAGCCTCGTCCTCATCTTGGAAACCATTTGCAACTTCAACCTTACTTCCTTCTTCTCCAATTTGTTCTTCCACTTGGGAAGGATCAACGTCTTCCTCTACTTTGATGCTCGCTTCCTCATCCGCAACCTTCTTTCTCGCCTCTTCGACCTCCTTTTCCTCTTTAAAAGGCGAGTGACTATTGTGAGAAAGTTGTTCACATTCTTGCTCAACAATCTCTTTAGTCTCTCCGTTTTTCGGAGGATCTCCTCTGATGACCTTAGAAAGGACGAGTTGACAAGATGAGTCGACAGGGGTGGTGGTTAAGGATTCAACATTGGAGTTTGCTTCGGTATCTCGGGTAAACCGCTCCACCATGAGCTGCAATTGGCTCATCGATGATTTTGGAGTGTAGAAAGATTGTTCCACACTTTAGGATGCTCCATCGAATCCCTGGACAAACTGCTCCACCAAAAGCTCTAATTGGATTTTTGACTCTGCCTGAGGAAGTAATTCTTCTTAGTATCGAGGAGTTTCATGAAGTACCCATGGTAAGGTTGTTCTTCTTGGAAGGAGGGTTGGTAATAAAACCCAAACCCTTGAGTTCCACCATCTTGATTGTTCCATGAAGTTTCGAGGTAAGCACACAGAATGAGAAAAGGCGCAACCGCTCATACATCCATCCCCCAGACAAGTCCAAGGTGAGAGGAGAAGAAGAAGCTAGACCGGACGGTTCATTTTCAATTGAACCTTCCCGAACAAGTTCCCATTCTCAAAATTACATAGTTAATTTGATTGCCAGTTTCTACGAAAAGGTGCAAGGTTCCATTGTGTGAACGCCCGTCACACTATGGGAGCTGGCCATGCCCGAAGTCGTTACCTTAACCGCAAGGAGGGGGATGCCCATCGGGTGTTGGTGAATACCTCCATACTTTGGTGAAGTCATAAGGATCCATGATTCAAAAGTGACTACTGACTCGCTCAAAACTACACCGTGAATTACATCCCGACTAGAGCCCAAATTTTTAAACTCTAGCCGGGTGCAGTATAGGGCAAGTATTTAGTTGTCAAAGCCGGGCCGGTCCATGTACCCCTACTTCAATCTCTTAAGTTGTTATCTAGCAAAACAGTTTTGGGTTTAAAACTAAGAAAACAACAAACTAAACAAGCAAGGGAAGTAAATGGAGGAGAATTCTACTCAAGAGGACTTCACCCGGGTATTGCTCCCTCTAGTCTAATGCTAAAAAACAACAAACAAAGCTCTAGTGTGAAGTACGTGTTCATACACCACGAGGTGGGTGCAACTAGCTAAGGACAAACTCCATTAGTCGATCAATGAAGGAAAACCAACAAATATAAGGTAGGGGAACTAGCTCTTTTAACCATTAGGTTAAGAATTGTGATTCATAGCTAGGGAACCATTGTGACAAGTTACAAAGATTATTCACTTAACCTTTCGGCTAAGGGTGACAACGATAGGCTAGGAAACCTAACCCTCTCGACTATCAGACTAAGGATTGCAAACCAAACCCTCGGAACTTAATACGGTCGGCGGAGAGACCAATCCCGATGGAATCACGACCCTACTCCGATACTTGATATTTTGGTCTTAAATCGACCTAAAGGAGGTTACCCAATTGGCTAACAAGTCTAGCCTCCTATTGGACCAAAAGGGGACTTCCACCCTCTAGGTCAATCCTCGGTTGTTTGCTCCCTTTGGTCCATTTTTGCCCCTTTTCATCCAACTTTCGCTCCCGATGTCGATTCCACCTGCTAAGACCTGAAACATGCTAGAACATGTACAAAGCATAAAATTGAACATTGAGCGATGTAAACACCTCAAATATCACAAGAATATGAGGTGAAAATATATGTAATTATGCTTGAATCAACTGTCATGAATTCAAATACTATATAACAATAAAATAATAAATTGATGTCACTTTTATAAAAAAAAATCAACAAAATTTCAGCAGTGTAAGCAAATTTACTTCATATGTGTGGAATAACTATTTTCATGGTCACATGGTTTAATCTTTTTGAAAAAATATTAGGTATTGAATTGTAAGAAAAATAATATTATGTACTAGTAGATATTTTTCAAAACTTGTATTGTTTGTCAAATGAACTTTAAATTCAAAAAAACATAAATGTTTAAAATTTGCAAATCGACAACCAAAAATGAATTTGATTTAAATGCATCTTAAACTCAAAAATTAAGATCATGCATTTTAAATACGCATCCAAACACAATCTTGAGAATGGCAAAAATCGATATGGCGAAAGCGTATGATCGAGTAGAATGGCACTTCTTGGAGGGGGTTATGCGCCGAATGGGGTTCGCAGAGAGTGGGGGGGGGGGGGACTATAATGAAATGCGTAAGATCGGTCACTTACTTAATCTTGGTTAATGGCAACCAGTCACCGGTTCTAGTACCAGAAAGAGGACTTCGACAGGGAGACCCTCTGTCTCTGTATCTTTTTTTACTGTGCGCAGAAGGGTTATCGACTTACACTGAGCTAGCAGTTCGAGAGAAGAGGATTCATGGCTATCAACCAGCGCAGGGTTCCCCGACTGTCTCGTACCTGTTCTTTGCTGATGACAGCATTTTCTTTACTCGGGCAATAGCACATGGAAGCCAGAATTGAAGAAAATATTATTGGATTATGAAAAGGAATCGGAACAGATGGTTAACTTCTCCAAATCAGCTGTTTCGTTTAGTAAAAAAGTGACCATGCATAATCAGTTATTGACTAGCGGGACCCTTGGAATGAAGAGAGTGGAGAAGCATGATAAATATCTCGGGCTTACGACAGTAGCGGGGAGGTCGAAGAAAGAGATGTTTATGAGCTGAAGGAAAGAGTGCGGAAGAAACTTAACGGTTGGAAGGAGAAGACGTTGTCAGCAGCGGCTAGAGAGGTACTTATTAAGTCTGTCGCACTAGCTCAGCTATCGTATGCGATGACAGTTTTTAGGATCCCTGAAGGGGAGTTGGAGGAGATCCAGAGGCATATTTACAAGTTTTGGTGGGGTCAACGCGGCTCGGAACGTCGTGCTCACTGGGTGAAGCGTGAGGAGATGGCATGCCCAAAGGAAGAAGGTGGGATGGGTTTCCGGGAGCTAAGAGGTTTCAATACAACCATGCTAGCGAAACAGCTGTGCAACCTCTATAAAAAATCGGACTCATTAGCTGCACGAATCCTTAAGGCCAAGTACCATAAGCACTCTAGTGTTCTGGAAGCTCACTTAGGCTACCGACCGAGTTATATCTGGCGTAGCATCATGTCGGTTCAAGATTTTCTTGTTAGTGGTCTTCGTTGGAGCATTGGCAATGGTTCTATGGTGCGTATATGGGGGGATTGGTGGGTTCCATGTATTGAAAAGTACTATGTACCTTCTGCCTCGGTGGGGCTGCCGGTGGATGCGGTAGTACGTGATCTTGTGGAGGAGGAAGATGAAGTTTGGGATCAGAACCTACTTGCAGCCTGCTTCCCAACTGATGTAGCCCAAGCTATTTGCCAAATTCCTTTCCGGGGTGAGGAGGAGATGGATATGCAAGTGTGGAGGAGCTCTAAAGATGGGGTGTACACAGTAAAGGACGGTTACAAACAATGGTTGCTACACTTTAAGGAGGACGCGGGGGTTACTGCTGTGGGCAGCCTGGAATTGTGGAAGAAACTATGGTCTTTACAAATCCCTCCAAAAGTCAAGCAATTCTTGTGGCGGTTCACGAGAGATGCGCTACCAACGGGTGACCATGTCGCGAGCCGCAATCCGAGATGGGGTGATAAAGAGAAAGGAGGATCAAGTTTACCAGTAGTCTACCAAATGAATATGAACCAGGTGCCAACTGCCAAGTGAATGTTCAGCTTTTCGTTTCCATTTTTCAATAATTTGTTTCTGTGAACTGCATTTAGTAGTTATTGGTTACTTGTGCTTCTTGTTTGGAAACACTAGATGAAGATCAATAGCCCACTCAACCCAAGGTTATGAGAAACGTTTTTCAACACCCAATTATTAGTCTACCAAAGCAGCATTTTCTACAAAGCAAAGCAAGCTGCTTCCCATGTTGCTTGACATATTTCCTACTTTAGAGATTGTTACTTTCTAGCCTAGCCAAAAGAATTACAGCATCGCAGGAAGCAGAGCATATCAATCCTTAACATCAGTTACACCTTCCGGGGAGATCTGAAACCGTGCTTCAGCTTCTGCTAAACAAGGAGAGCTTATCACTTTACAGATGCGTTCTTCTCCTCTTCCCTTCCGAAGAGCAAGCCTGGAAATAAGCATTAAAAAGAGAAGAAAAAATATAACTGTTGTTAATGAGATTGCTTCTACTATGGGTGAATCCAGAATGGCAATACCCGAGAAGGGAGTGTGCAAGATGAGGGGCCAGGGTAACAACCTAGTTGTCGAAGCATGTGCCATGATGTTACCACCTATAGGCTTGATTTGCGGCCCAGCGAAAATGGCGGAGCCATCTACTTGTGCAACTACTTGGTTTGTAATCACCACAGCTACCCCAAACTGCAAACCAACCCAAAAAATAACACAATCGCACACCAAACATCCTCGGTGTAATCAGTTCAATTTGTGTGCCCGCAATGCACTTGATAAGAAATGCAATTTCCGACTATACAGTTTATGCTACCTCATCAGCCATCCTCTGAAGACTCCTAAGGAACTTGGCAAGATGCATTTGGCGAGCAGACAATTCGCCTCTGCCAGAGAAGTCCGTTCTATACAATGCTGTAGCACTGTCTACTATCATAAGAGCAAATCTGTAAACCACAAATGTCACTTGTAACTATCGACACCAATCAACCCCAGGCATAAGATATATTCTACTAAATTGTCCAAGTTAGTTACCCAGTTCTTAAGTAACTAGGTCGCTGGTTGTTTTGGGGTACTGAAACATTTTAGGTGATGTTGAAAAAGTAAATCCAAGTGCATACGGATGGCAGACCCGAGCTATACCTACTTTCCACCATCATGGAAGCTGCTGAAAGCAAAAGCCGTGACTGGTGATCCGTGTTATACGCTCGTGCATAAGCCACATTTTCCAAGACATCAGCACCATTTAGTCCATACCTGCAATATCACAAATAGTATGTCTTCAGTAAACGGAAGAACGAGACAATAGTATCTTCCAGCAAGGAACCTTGAGAATACCTCTCTGCTATCTGAAGTAGTCTCTGTGGCCTGAATGTTCCTTCAGCATCGATATACATAGCCTTTCCTTCACCACCCCCTTGGTCAAATGGAAGCTGACATTTTCGACATCAAATATTTGTGAGGGAAAGACGAATACCCCATTATTTTGAAATTCTTGTTCTTCCATGATAAACTGATTGATTCTTTTCTATCAAAGAAGAAAATTGAGAAAATGATTCTAGACATCACAGTTTCAATGAACATTCGTACTTAAGATAATCATGGGTTATAAAACTTGTCAGGGAACTGACTAGTAAATTGTAGGTTCAACTATATGTTCAGCAGAAAAGTAGTCCACCCTATGCCTTAAGATTTCAGTATCAGCAAATCGTATCAATCACCTAAACAAATTTAGAAGAAAAGAGGTACGCAGAGGAAGCTCGTACTTGGCAGGTGACACAAAGCGTGTGGCAGAGCTGAGTCTTTCCAGAGCGAAATTCACCATATAACTCGGTAATGGATCCTGTCTCAATGCCCCCTGAAACAAAAAAACCGGCAGAGATACCCACTTGAGCACACAAAGGCAGAGAGCATACAGTTTACAGTGTTGCAAAGAAAGCTCTTTTCTTGGAGAAGGATCTAATGAGTGGTTAGAAACAATGATGTGCCTTCCAAGATCTTGTCTAGATCTCTTGACCCTGATGTGATCTGAACTAAGTTCAACTTCTGGACATGAAGTTCACTGGCACTCGTAAAACCAAGCGGGACCAATTTGGAAACTGCATATGCAAACAAAAACATCTTCCATCCATCAGTTTTGGGTTATGCGAATTGATTCTGTCGCAACTAAAAAAGGAAATGGGAGCACAGGCCAGCAGCACATGCCTGCTTCAATGATCTTGTCAACTTTAGCTTCACTGATTCCTTTAATTTGCAGTAGTTCTTTCCTAGGAGAGTATGCAACTGACTCGACTGTACATAGACCAGCTTCTTTTAGCTTCTTCACATCAACGGAGGCTATACCCGATTCCTGAAGCAAATTCAAGGAATCCTATTTAGTAAAACCCTAAATGTACAACAGATGTATTATCTTTCACAACGCAAATAGCCAGTTTGGAGCAAGATCAGGACATAACAATAAAAAAGAATCAAGTACAAGCATTCGTTCCTTATGACTCAACTTTTCCTAACCCAAAAAAAACAACCACATTTCGACGCAAAATCAGAAGTGGGTCAAGTCTAATTCAGCCAAAAATGGAACCTTGGTCCATCGAAATGGACAACAAAGCTTTAGAATCTATCTGATTGAACCTTACAAACCTCGGCCTCCTCAGATAACAAATGTGAAACGATCGTGCAACGAGAGAAGTAGATCGAATTAAGAAAATTGGGGAAGAGAAGAAAGGAAACACAGAAAGACAGGAAATTGCCACTGAGCTACCTGTAGCAGCTCAACGGGGATAGGGCCGTTCTCCTCGTGTTGCTGTTCATGCGCCAAGTTCTGGTTCCTTTGCTGCTGCTGCTCCATTTCCGCCTGGATCGTCGGAGAGAGTTCACTTGAGATGAGAGAAAGAGAGCGGGAGAAAAGGAGAAGGTGGATGTGTTCAAAATAAGTTATGCGGGCGCCAAAATTTGGGGGTTTGTTTGTTGTGGAGTTGAGTCGGTGGCTCGGTGCCCTTGAAACGATAGTTGGGAACGTAATTGTGGTCTGCAGAAGCTTGTCATGAAAGCTGGGGAATTCTCTTAGGGGCGAATTTTGGGCTTGAATCAGGCTAACAATAGACCGGTAATTGGGCTTCGTGCAGCTCAATAGACCAGATTGATTGGGCTACTCGACTTCAGGTTTGTTCTTGTAAACTCTGCTTATCATGTGGCTTTAAAGTTTAAATAGTTGACGAGTACTTGTGTTTAGGGATGAAAATGAGTCGGGTTGGCTCGGGTTCTGCCATATCAAAATCAATTCAAATTTCAACGGGTATCAGCGCAAAAAAAAAAAAAAAAAAAAGAGAGAGAAATACCAAACGGGTTCTATAATCTCAAACCCAACCCAACCCACCTTGAACTCGCACGTTCATGAATACATGTAGGTTCATGGTTAAAACTGAAATAACACCACGAATTTCCACATTGATTTCAAAATCCAGTTTTCTTCTCCTTCTCTGGCGAACAAAAAACCATAGAAAACGAACAACAACAAACCCTCGTCTCCCCTAGTTACTTTCTTCACCAAAATCATTTCGTTTACGCGATTGAACAACTACCACTTAGTTGCCTCAACCCGATAGTCTTCACCGGTCAACAACTCTAATTCCCAGGCCCCCCAACTCTTGTTCTGTCAATGGAAGAGTTCAACCTAGGGCAAACGCAGAAAGAACTAGGCGGGCGAGAGGGCAGAGATGGAGCTGCTGGAACTTGGAAGCTCGATCAGGTGAGGGAGAAAGGGCGGTGACATGGATAAATGGAGTCAGAGGCACTGAAGTGCAGACAAAGCAGGGAGAGGGGATAGAGTTGCTGGTGGTCGGTTGAGGAAGAATTGAGTGGGGAGATAGTTGCTGGTATGTGAATGGTGGACGGATTGTTTGCCGGCGGGTCATGCAGACAAGTAGGTTGCAATCCGCAGAGGGAGAGAGAGCCAGAGAGTAGGCAGTGCGAGAGGGGGCCAGCTGTGAGAGTTGTGGAGAATGATTTAGAAAATTTAGGGTTAGTGGGGTTTGGATATGGGCGGGGATCCATGGGTTGGATGGCTAAAACCAAACTCAACCTACTGAATAGTGAAGTAGGTTTAAACTCAAACCCGACCCGCTATCTGTCAACGCAGGTTTTAGCCTCTTTGACCGAGTTGGGTTGGGTGGGATAGGGTACCCACAGATTCGCGTTTTGTTGCCATCCCTACTTGTGTCGGAGCACGAGTAAGTGCAATGGATCAAGCTCTTTAGAAACGAGTGTAGAACTTAAAACTGCAGCCCAAGGCCAAGTTCTTTTTATAACAACTCGTTTATAGGATTTAGCGGACGACACATGTCGTATTTGGTTGTGGTTTGGATATTATCGACTTGTATAATGTTTGTTTGCCAGAGCGCGGATCACTAGAACATTTCTTTTTTAATTATTTGTTGCCTACATCTTTATGTGGTTCGTTTGCAAAATGAAACTCCAAAAATGAACCACAATCAAGTATCTCTTGTTTCGAGTTTGTCGATCTTTGGCAGTTATCAGTCCAATAACATTTCAATTAGACCCACGATCTGGGTTAACCATCGCATACAGGCTGCCATGGGTCTCTGACATGCATGACCACTTGATTAACTCTAGGTATTGGATCAACTGAGAATTTATTTACCCAAAAAAATAAAATCTTCCTAACACGACAAAAATTGGTTTGCATGCCCTATTGGATTTTCTCCTTTTTTTAGTTTAACTCCTCTTCTATTCCTTGATTTGGGTTTATAACTAACCATCAAAATCTTCTATTCAACGGCTAGTGGTTAGTATGAATCCCATGGATGCTGAGCTAATGGTGGGTTTTATAGCTGAGGATGTGGATGTGGATGTTGATGTGGCTCCAGAACGTACAATGGCCACATAGTCTTGTTGGTCGATTTTTTTCAACCAATCCTTTCGATAACAAGATTTCGATAAGAAGATTTGTCAACTTTGGCCATAGACTGAAGTAGTTTGGGGTTTAATTCTAGTGGATTGGAAGAAAATATACTGGTTGCGGAGGGAACTTGCTCATGACTAGGCTGTTGAGAAGGAATTTTGGCAGCAATTCTCCAGCATTAATTGGCCGAAAGAGGGAGATCAAAATTCACAATATTTTCACATATGGTCACTCGTGATCGGCGAAGTTAGAAGAGGAGAAGAAATGGCGCTTGGTTACATCGGAGAAGGAGAAGCAAGCTACGGTAGTGGCTCATTATTAGGATATATTTTCTTTCTAATTCAGGATGGAGGTAGTGCTGCTCGAATTCAACCTATAATGGCTCACTTGCTTTTCCCTGTTTGGTTTCAGCTGAAATGAATTACAGGTTACTTCGTCAAGTTTTTCCCAGTGTATACAGTCTTTTAAAAGCGAGACACCCGTGCTCTAGGATCTTATCGGTGGTTTCTTCAAATCATTTTTATGACATTTTGGGTGCTAGTGTGGTGAAGGAAATATTCTCTTTCTTTGAAACATGCAAATTACCACGAAACTGTAATCATACTTGAGTGTCTTTGATTCCAAAGGTGGATGTGGTGGAATGAATGAGTCAATTGCATCCCATTAGCCTCTATCAGTTTATCTACAAGGTTATAACCAAGATTCTGACGACTAGGCTCGGAGAAGTGTTGCCTCACTTGGTGGGTTCTACACAGAACATGTTTGTGAGGAACAATCAATTGTGGACAACATTTGGGTAGTGCATGAATCAATGTTTTTCACCTGAAAAATAGGAGATGAGGGAGATAATAGTTTATGGAGCTCAAGCTGGATATGAAAAAGCACATGTCCACTTAGACTGGTCGTATCTTTTTTTCATTTTTGGAGCAACTGGATTTTCTCCCACTTGAGTTGCTTGGATAAAAGAATGTGTCACTACTTCCTCCTTTTTTATCATGGTTAACAGTACTTCAATTCGCTACTTTCATTCGTCATATGGCCTTCGTCAAGGTGATCCTTTATCGCCACTATTATTTGATCTTGTAACGAAAGGGCTTTCTCCACATATTCATCATACCATTTTCTGGCAGCATCCATGGATTTCAGATGGGGTCTCGATCTCATGTAATTTCTCACTTTTTTTTTGCTGATAGCTTATACCTCTTCCTTCCAACTTTTTTGTGATTTTGAGAATATTTTATAGGTATTGCGTCAAGATGAATTTACTTTTGATGAGTGGTGAATGAGTTAATCTCACCTAATAATTAGTTTATTTTAGTAGAAATACTGTAATGGATATGAAAACTTAGTTAGGGATTAGATTGGGCATGAGAGCTATAGGAACTCAGGACCGATATCATGGTTTACCATCTATAGTGGGGCGATTGATGACTCGATATTGGCACATGTTTTCCCCTTTGTTTCTTGATCGTTTAAGCTTGCATTATCGCTTATTTGGCCTATTTTACGCTAGGTTGTGTTCCTTTGTCACATTTCAGGCCCTAGCACATAAAGTGAAGCGTAGGCGCAAGTTTCAAGTCAATCGGAGATCAATTGGCGATTAGGGAGAAGAAACACGAGCATGACCTGAAGAAGAATGGATTTCTACCTCACTTTATGGACAAAGAATCATGAAATTTTGTTATGAAAAGAAAGAGGACGAGACTACGAGCGTCTGGGTTCAAACGGCGACTGATTCGGAGTCCGGACGAGGGAGAAACGAAGCTTTGAACAGGGGTGGAGGAAGAATTACGGGCAGGAGAATTACGACCGTAATTTCCCCTCCCATGCCCGTAATTTCACTGCGAGAGGAGCTTTGGGTGCGCTGAAACTTAACCAAAACGCGTGTTTTGGGCAAAATACGGGCATGGAAGAATTATGACCGTAATTCATGTAACACCCTACCCTATACGTTTTGCCTAATCATATTGTTCATACAATTGCAGCGGAATTAATCTCGGGTGTTACATTAATTATCAAAATTTACCTAAATAAAATTTCGACATGAATTATTCGCGTAATGGGCTAACAGTTCTTCCATATGATCCTGCAAAATAATTCATCTCAATCCATGCATTCATAGACAAACACATATACTCACAACCATATGCATTGGCTTTTCATAGCCATAGTCACAGTTTCATACTACACAACTGCATACCATACTTATACATACCATAATCGTCACAACTTACACAGTTACACAAATATACACATATCATCAACTTTCCACACCTGTGGATATCTCACACTAGATCAGAAGCTAGTATGCACATGAAAAACGTTCTCAAAACATTTTTTTACAAAAAAGTGTGGATCACTGGCCAAAATCCCGAGTAGTAGTCCAAGCACAGAATAGTTGAAGACCATACCTCATCCTTGCTTCAACTCTAGCTCCTCTCCCACCTAACACTTATCTACTGCTGCTGCTGATGATCTGCTTACACATAGCATAAGCAGAGAAGAAGAATAAAAGAGGGTCAGCTCATAGCTGAGTGAGATAATCATAGCATCGTGAGTTCATAACAGAGCATACCCCTACCATACATCTAGCAAACAAGCCAAAGCACTGGGATCAGATCTCAGCCCTCCAACATCCCAATAGGCAAAAGACTCAACCACCTTGACTTATGCATATGCATCTTATCATGTTTTAATCATAGGCGCCTGGCTACTCCCATGCTAATAACTCTCCCGGGAAACATACCCCACATCCCGTCGGATGTAGTCATACATACCCCAACATCCCGTCGGATGTGGTCATACATACCCCACACCACTATGGGTGTAGTCATACCCCGACACCGCTCTGGGTGTGGTCATATCTCATAAGAATTCTTCAGTCACCACCACATGAGAGGTGTGACTATCATACATATCATAATAGAGTAATAGCATAGGGAGCCCTAATTACTATGTAGTTGACCGTGAGACCACAACACTGATATTTGGTATCCTTATACATGATTCATATCTCATCTTGCTTAATCATAATTCATTACTTGCACATGTACTTGACCTG